CGGACTGCGATTGCCCCGAGCTTTTGTGTATGATCCACCTGTATGTTTTTGTGGTTGACAACAAGAAAGATCCAAACAGGGCTTGTTGCCCCTGCTAGAAAGCTAGTAGTCTGTACCTAGGCTTCACCATGGGCCATGGCAGATCTTGTCATACATGCTGTGTCAAACCACTGCAAACAACACCTATTTGGGTTTACGATATTCGGGAGTACCTAATTGGGGTTCCTATCATCAGGGGTCCTACTATTTGGGGGTCTATATTTGGATTAACCCCCCCCCCCCCGTTTCAGAACATGAAGACATCGCAACCTGTTGGTTCTTCCATTTTGCTTCTCCTCCACGCAGCTCGCAGCCCCAGGACTAAGCCGGCCTTTCTTTGGCCAAAGCTGAAGCCCTAACCCCTAGGATCTGTAGTGCCCAAATCTCCCCACAAGACCCGGCATGGCTTCAAAGGGGGCCACGCTCAGAGCCGCATGTAGCGCACGCCGTGGGGAAGGGGGCCCTGGAGCTCGCAGATGGCCTCCGAAGCCAAGGCCTCGATTCGATGCTCTCTCTTCGGATGTGGGGGGTTTCCGACATATTAAGGGGTACCCTTTTGGGGGCTCCTATGGGGTATACTAAGGGTACCCCCTTTTTTTTTGGAAATGCCCATATGTTCTTAATGTTCTTACCATCATCCGGCCCTAAGGCCGGAAAGGGCTTCGAAAGGGTAAGCAGGAGCTGAGAGGAGTTGAGGATGGTTCCGGGATTGCTAGGACTCCCTGGAATTCGTTTTGGCGATTTAGGCATCCGAGGTCGGGACGCCACCTTGCGTCGCGATGAGCCTGTCACGTCACGGCAGGGTGTTCGCAGCACAACTTGTGGGCTCACAGTAGGGACTTTTGTTTACAGGTGCTTCTGAAACAAATGGCTGGCCTCGTCCTGTAAGGCCCTATCAGAAAGCAACAGGCAAAGTTTCGGCATGGCTGTCCCTGACAAGGCTGCTGACCTAATCGTTAAAACTCTAGGCTCAAGCCCGCCTGAAGCACTCTCCGAAGCCCTAAAATCCCCAAACCATCCGTTTGACAGACTCTCTACATCTGTCTCACTAGTTTATTCTCACCAGGTGTTGGTGATCGAACGCATGTTCGGCCTTCCTCTGGTACGTAGGAGTACCTTCTGCCATACCCAAATCGACATCAACTTCAGCTTTCGTTTTCGTAACACACCTTGAGCCTTTGTTTCTCCGTATCGGCTTCCTTCCAAAAAATCTAAATCAAAAGCTGTAACTGGGCAAGAGATGGGTGACCCAGACTCAGCTTGGCAAACTCTAGACCCTAACGCCACAAACCTCTAGATCTTCTATAGACTTTAGCCATCTCAATAGCGTTACTCCATAAGGCCTAAATCTGTAGAAAATCAAGTCGTGTGGTCTTGAGATTTATGTGTTGCTGCAAAAACAAGGCCGGGGGATCTCTGCTCGAAGCGTCGTGCACGTCCACAACTCACCGCGCCCCTCGCAAGCGGAAAGATGTGCAAGGGTCAAGGGCTTCGGGCTTTCGCTGCCCCAAGCGGGGGGGGGGGTTCTTGATCTTCATGATGTTTGACAAGGGCCCTTCAAATCAACTCTTGGAATGCCCGATCGTGAGCTGCTAAGGGTGTTGGGGCGTGCAGTCTTTCGAGGGAGCAACTGCACTGGAACTGCAAGCTCTGCAGAGCGGCCATACCGGGACGGCAGACTCCGAGCGCAAGTGAAAAGTGAAGCCGTCCAATTGAAAACTCCTCTGGCTCAGCATCGGCCTTTGCGGCCGGCACATGCTGAAAGGTCGTAGTGACCAGCGCAAGGCCTTTGGAGCTGAGCCAAGCCGAGGCTTGAGACTCCAGGCGGTTTTGAGGCTTGGTAATCAAGATCCACACGGACAGCCTTTGGCACAGGTTCAGGTTGTCTTTGCTTGTTGCAAGTGGCTTCGCGCGGCTGCGTCTTCTCAAGGCCCAGGGGTGCCCGCTTTGGCAGAGTCATGTCGAACCCCGAAGCCGATGTTGCGGCCTCTTTAGCGCCCCCATTGAGGCCCAGGCTGCCAGAGGCGTGGGCCAAGATCAATCGGGCGTTCCAGGGGCGGTAACCTTGACATTTGGAGGATCTCACACGTTGATGCTTTGTAGGGTTTAGGGATGTTTAGGGGTGTGTGTTGTTGCCGTTTCCGGGGAGGAAAGAGCACCGTATCCAAACCGCAAAAAAAACTCACGCTTGAAGAACCCATGCCCGAGTTCATGCCCTGAATCCCACAGCCCTGAGTCCCACAACCTTGTCCCCGAACGAACGTTGCTGCCACAAAGACACCCTCGGAGGCCAGATCCAAGTCCAGAGAGTTGAGCCGCGGCACCTGCAGCTGGGCTGCGGCTGAGTTGCGACCCTTACCCAGAACGAACCACTGCCGGGCAATAACCGGATTGTTCTTCTTTTTTTCCCACTGCCTTTGAGGTCCCTGACGCTTGCTTTGGGCTTTGGGTGCCCATACCAGTACCTGACGCTGCCATGAAAGTCAGCCTTCCAACCCGAAACAAAAAGACACTGTGGATGGTTTCAACGTTAAGGGGCAGGAGGTTTGGAGTGTCGGCAGCTTTGCAGGTCCACAAGGATACGCCATCTTTGAAACGATCCAAGCTGGAGCGGCCTCAGACGGTGGCACGACGTAGGAAAACTCGAGGGCCTGGGCGGTGCAACAAAGATCGATGTTCGATCTCATGAGGCAATGTAGTACGGTTTGATTTTCATCCCTAACCAAACCTCCGAGAGCACGCAGCCCAAGCAACTGAAACCATCGGCTTGAAACTGAGAGCTGCAGAAGGTAAGCTCTGGACGTCCTCCTTGCTGTCCGTACCCTGGAGATGTTGAGCTTTCAGTCTTGGAATTGAGCCGTGGAGATTTCGGCTTTCAGAACCAGGGGGGGGGCGAGGGTTGGACTGTTCCGGACTATGTGACAACAGCTTTTGTTGTAATTTTTTCGTACTTTCTGACAAAAATTTTTCAAACTGTTTTTAGAATTTGTACTTTTCCTGTGTCTTTTTTGGCAGCTATGGGGCGGAACCCCGCGAAAACCCGGCCCGCGCTAGCACGGAAGAGTCCAAGCCACGCGAGGGTTGGACTGTCGGGGGGGGGCCCTAAGCTTGGAGCCCCAGCCCCATCCAGGCTTCAATGAGCGTCTTCAAATCTCATCACTCTGTTGCACAATCTACAGCTACTTCCAGACACTCAACAAGCGATCTCTACTTGTCGGTCGTCCATTTTAAATGTTTGGCAAGGAGCCGTATAAGAGGTTAGAGGGGGCAGCGTTGTGTTTCAAATGCCTTGAAAGCCCAGAGCTTAGACTCGACAACTCCCCCACGCAGAACCTCAATTTCTATGGGCGTTCTTAAAATGTGCTCACGCGTCGCTGCGCCCCTTTTAACCCAACATAGTCACCGTGCTTTTTTGCCTCATTCTGGAATCCACCTCTACTACTGGTTCCCAGCCACTGAGAAACCCACCCCGGAAGCCCCCTGAAGCCCTTCCCCGAATATGAGCCCTGTCCTAACCCTTGAGACTCGAACGTTCAAATGCTGCCACTAAACTGCTGTTTCCTAACCACTGACACATGCTGACACCCAAACCAGCTTTCGTTGCACAGAGGTCATGTGGCTGGTTCTGCAGCTTTGGCTGAGGGTGGTTTTCCTTGTAAATCTGGTAGCAAGCTGCCTGCACATGCAAGAGTAAGCCATTATGGCGAGCAGGGTTTAAGTTTAAGGCCATGACCCGAACTGTTGATTTCAATGTGCTCTATATTTTCATATATCATATATCATAGATCATATATCATCGTCGCTTTTTTCGTATGCCTTTGAAACAGTGTGGGATGGATTGGTACCAATAATTCTGGCGTGTTTTTTTGGTGGGAAATGCATTCTTGCATTTTGACTTTAATTATTTGAGCAATATTCATGTGAAGTTTTGCGCCTTACAAACATTGGATATTGAGCGAACGTAAAATATATCAAATCTATAGATAATAGATATCATATCATATATATATATACATATCATTTATCATATATATATATGTACATATCTATGATATTGCACACGTCTAAATATATGATATGGCCTATGTGATCTCTCGCCAAGAAGCCTCTCCTCCGGAAGAGCCGGCCGGGCTGAAGTTGCCTTCGCGCAGCGTTCATAACGAATGGAAACATCGTGTAACCTCCCCCTCCCCCAGTTTCTCTTACAGTACATGGGGTTTTTTCAATATTAGGGGGGGTACCTTATACGTAGTTAGAATTCATAGTATAGGGGGGTTTTTAGCATTAGGGGGGGTACCTTATTGGGGTCCTTACATTACGCACTTTGGGGGTTTCCGAAATTAGGGGGTACCTTACTTGGGGTCCTTATTATAAGGGATCCCACTATTTGGGCGTCTGTTTTAGGAGTCCCTATTTTTGTAAACCCACATGTAAGCCATTTACAACATTGCATGCTCGCAGCTTGTGATGGGTTTCGGAGTTCCTATTCTCAGATTCGATTTGAAGCCCATCCTCGATTTCTGAGGGGCCCCAGGGAGGTGGAGAATCTGTGACTTGCTTCCAGTGCAGCTTTGGGAATCAAACCCCAGCAGATTGGCAACCGGGGCCCCGCAACTGCGACCGGCTCACGTAAAGTCGCCTCTATACTCTACTCCATAAAGTCAAGACTCAAAGATGAGTCTCTAAGTCCACGAGATCCTAAGAGCATTCGTGATGTCCTCTGTCCCGTTTTTGATTGAGTGTACACCGATACTGCAGTTGTGCTGTTTGCATTCTTGAAGAATGCAAACAGGGAAGGAGAGCTTTGGCATAGCGCCCAAACCAAGGACGCCAATTCACAAGGAAAATCAAATCTGCGATATCCGTCCCAAAGTCCAAACATGTAGTAAATTGAACCATGGAGCATGGATCCACGGTCGACCCTGGGGTTGGGCCCTCCATGGTTGGGGAGTTCCGCTGACCTGTTTCAAGCCGATCTGGAGCTGGCATCAGCGCGTCCTGAACAGTCCGCGACCTGAGCATGTTACGGAGGTCTATCGGGGTCCAAAGGCTTTTGGGGTCAAACCCCCTGAAAGCACTCGAGGGACAATCATCTGTTGGCCGCTTTCTTCCTTTGACATCTTTTTAGTTTCATGCGGTCTTGGGGAAGTGCAGTTGAGTTGCTTCATGGAGAGAGCAAGGGTGAAGAAAGCATCCACAGAGCTAGCAGGATGAAAAAGGGGACGGTCACAGGGGCTACATACTTCCCTAACCTGCAGAGTCTAGCCCGGGGTGGATGCGAACTCGTGCTTTTGAGGGCGGTGCCCTAACACGAACAAACAGCAAGGACACGTAGCCCCAAGCAAGGCCCGCCTAACCAAAGGCACATATCTTTACAAAGAGTGGGCCGGAGTGGCCGCAGGAAAAGATGCCGAATCCCCCCCCCCCCTCCAGGCGAAGTACTTTGAGTCGGCGCAAAGCTGCATGGGTACAATTGGTCATTGCGGACATCTTCTGAGCCCAAAACCCCAAGAACCCTAAGCCCACAGCCCTAAAGGCCCTAAACCCTAAACCCTAAGCCCAAAACTCCCTAAAACCCCTGAACCCTACCCTACACCCTGAACCCTAAGCCCAAAAGCCCTAAACTTTCTGCCCAAAGCCCCTAAACCCTAAAGGCCCAAAAGGCCCAAAGGCCCTAAATCCTAAAGGCCCAAAAGGCCCCAAAGGCCCTGAGGAAGGTGCCGCATGAGCTTTTCCAGGATGCCCGTCAGCGCCTACGACTCGCGCTCGCCCCACAAAGAGAAGATGCATCATCATGATGTTCAGAGGTCTAGGGTTTTAGGGTTTAGGGTTTAGGGTTTACAGAGGTGTGAGATGGGTCTCAGAGACAAGTGGGGGGCTCCCCTTCTTCTTGCGGGAGGAGTTGGATGTATCTGTAGATAATTATTATTAAACATTCGGCTGACCTTATGATATTTGGTGCAGTTCTTGCTTAAAGATCACAGGACACATGATGTATAACGATGTGCCAACACGGTTTCGGGCGTGTCCCTCATCGTATCCGTCCCAAATAACACGAGCACAATGAAGACCGGCTCCGAACTGCCAGTCTCCATAACTAAAAGAGGCCGTGGCTCGCCGTGGCTCTGTTGGAGACGCGAACCGCAAGCATCAACCGTCCCGGTACTTGCTGACGCGTGAGTGATGTATGCAAGCCCACCCCGCTCCTCCCCGCTCCCTCCGTCAGAAACGTGGAGCTTTTGGGAGCAAGGAAGGCGCTCATCCTGCCCCTTCGCAGCCCTTTGCACCACCGCGTGCTTCTGGTCACTGGAGCTCGAGCATTGGAGCATAGGAGGACTGCTTTCAGTTAGTAGTTTCCGTGCTGATTTCGCATCAGTGAAGGGGGCAGGCAGCTTCTAACTGGCAAGTCCCCACCCTGCACAAGTAGTAGACAAGTTGCGCCCCCAGGACCAGAGCCAAAACAGTTCAAGCAACTGCAACTTCAGAACATCGACCCCTGCATCGCGATGTAGACCAGGAAGACTTCCCCTTCAGCAATGTTACGAAAGTCAATACGGGAAAATGGGGGGGGGGAGTAGCATTCCCATACTTTCTGTCATGTTGCCAAGCTTATAGAGTCCAATGCTTTTGCAACCCAACTAGATCATCTGCACGAGTGCCTGCTCTTTGCAGGACCACTCGCGGAGATAGTCGTCCTGAGGGTCACGGGCTTCGGGGCTTGCGGGTTTGGAGTTCTTGTCCACCCCCTGCAGAATGCCCTGCCAACAGCGGTCCTCGGGAAGATGGTCCACGTCAAAGAAGCGCTCGACCCTCTGGGCCTCTTTTGCTCTCAGAGCATGGGCTTTTGTTAGGGCCCAGGGCACAGGGTTCTGGTTCCCAGGGCCCATGGGCATCCCCCCTCTGCGACTTTAGCTAACCATCCCCCCCAAAGGCTGCCCTCCCTGCCCTCGGGGTCAGTGCAAACACTGGGACCCTGGACCGTGAAAAAACCTTAACGCCTGAATCCCTATGTCACTCTGCTTTCTGTGGCTTTGGACCTCCCTGGTAAACTGGTTCCGGGATGCTTTCTCGAGCAGTCGACGTTGAAAGTGCAGCGTGGCCAGGGTACAGAAAAGCCACCCTCTAATCCGACGAGAAGGGGGGGGGGGTTTACGAAAACAAGGACCCCTACATCACAAGGACCCCAATACAATCCCCCCCCCCAATTTCGGATCGCCACCCCCCCCCCCCCTATCCGTGATATTGCAAACATGTCGAAGGACCCTGCCGCGAAGCCTCCTGTTCTTCCAGTTTCGCCTCCTCCGGCGTACGGAAGTCCAAAGTCACACCTGAGACCTTGGCGCCATAGCTCATGGGGACCTGGGGAAGCCAAGACCCCAAAAGTCCCTGAGTCCCCTCAGAACTCATCCACATAAGGAAATCCTCAAAGGAAACCCTGCGACCTTATCTACTCACTGTCCCTGGGCCGTGTGGCCACCGCCAACCATGCGGCGGCAGCTGGGACGTAAAGGAATATCCTCGGCGCAGAAGGCTTTGGCCGGGCTTTGGGGCTCAGAGTTCAGAAGGGGGTTTACGAAAATAGGGAACCCTTATTATAGACCCCCCAAATGGTAGGAGCCCCTTACGATAAATAAGGACCCAAATAAGGTACCCCTAATTCCGGAAACTTCCAGAATGCTCAGCATTGAAGCGGGGAGGTGGGTTGGAGTCCCTGCAGCCAGGAGTCAGCCGCAGCCCGAAAACGGCACCTGTGATGTCAAGGGTAGGATTCCCTGAGCCCGCCTGAATCGGAACACGAAAGCCACTAAAGCCTGCAGAGTTTTGAGCGCTTCCTACTCGAGCCCCAAAAAACCTGAGAAAGTCCAGTCATTGAACGTCCCGTGCGCCTCTTCGGAGCATGGACGGCTTGGGAGCCTCGGGAGACCTCAGCAGCTCAATACTGACCCTCAGTGTCTAGGAGTTCTGGGATTCTGGGTCGGATTTTGTAGGCTTTGCCGGGTTCAGCAGGTCCGGACATAAGGGCTGTAGTGCTCAAAAGCTAGCACTTGGCACCCGGTTGCGTTGCCACACGGATGAGATGATGGTTGCGCCGTATGGCTGGCTTTGGTGCTGGATAGCCCTGCTCGAAATTGCTGCTGGAGTGGCGAAGCTGTCGAACTCCATCGACTTCTGCCTGGAAGAAGGCTCCCGTGTTTGGAGAGCTTCCGAGTATGGGTTTCGGATTTTCCGGATGCAAGCTTCAGGATTCCGGAGGTCACAGGGGCACAATTTGGTGGCTTTCCTTCTTGAGCCGTGCAAGCGACGCTGTGCCCTCCGTGGCTGAACAGCCATGCCCCACGTAGAACACATAGGTGCAAAGAGTCATTGTACATTGCAGGCTTGCATCAGGCCTTGTGGGCCAATGTCTTGTTTAGAAAGGGGTCCCTTTTGCAGTCAAGGGCCCTCAAATTTCTTTTCTTCGGTGCATTCCCATTTTGAGTTGGGGTGGGCTTTCGGCTTTCAAGTCAAGCTTTGTGTGGTGCGGAAGGTTTATGTTGATTGAAGGGGTGGGCGAGTAGAGGGTACCACGTTTCAACTGATATCTTCATCGCACTTACTAAAGAGCCTAGAAGAAATCTGGCATTGCATATTCAGAAAGCAGAACTGGTGCCAAATTGGCAGCTAACCCCTCCACTCTGGCGCTTGTTCTAGGTTTCTGCAGGGCCTCCAATCGCGGTAATCGCGGGCTGCCAGAGCTCTGGCCGGCTTCTTAGAGATGCGGATAAAGCCCTGCCCAGTGCTGTCGTGCGAGCAGAAATTTTGGGGGCTCTTTGACTTGAGGGGCACTTGAGGCTTCGGTGTTTCTGTTTGGATGTCCACCGAACCTCCAACGTTCACTGGGCGACGCGACCGAACCCTCGACCCATGCCGCAGAGGGCGCGAGCCATGATTGAGTCTTTGTGTGTGCATTGTACAATGTGTAGGCATGTTCAAGACTGACATGGAAGGTACGACGCGGACGTTGCAACTTCACCCACAAAGCTTTTCATGCGTAGGCCCGCTCATGAACATTCGACATAACATGCTTGGAGGAACTTGGTGGGCTCATGAACTCGGAACCATCTGACATGGTGCTGACGGTAGACGACTTTGAACGTCGGAGATGGATCAACAACGCACGGCTGGGATCCCTACAAACTTAGATGTGTCGAGTTTACCAGTTGATTCACTTCTTGTCGAGGACCACAAGAATTCCCCTTCAGCCGATGCCAAAAGTATGCAAGGCTACCCTATTTTTTCATGCACTGACGGTGACCTCAAGTCAGCTGCTCCATGGTCCCTGAACTTCCCTGAACCATGCTCTGAAATCACACCGTCACCCTCTGGCTCGCTGCTCTATTCCTTGAGCTCAAATGCCCTGCCTGGTTGATGGCCAGCTACGAAGTATCTGGGCTGACTCTGGCTTGCTGGATGCTTTGCATGAACCCAAGACCTGCAAGCCGAACCCCTCAAAAGTCCCCACCACTCTGAAGAGGGGGGAGCGAGAGGGAGAAAACAATTATTAGGGCCTCTAGTTGTCATTGAGTCGCTATAATGCTGGAGAGGAAGCCATTACGGAATGCCATGCCGCCTTGCTGCTTGCCAGCCTCATCCAAACAGCTGCAAGTTCCTGAATTCACTCTAGCACACGTGCCCCAACATACCAAGCCTCTCAATGATCGAATCCTCAGCTTGGATCCCTCCCCGGAAACCAGGGCTGACGACATTGTTTCTAGGACCCGTGCTGGCGAAATCGCTGCCTTCCGAGCGAAAACCTCACAGCTCGTGTTCGTGGATGTACTGTATATACTCCAAGGTTCAGGAGTCCGAGTTATAAAGGGTGCTTCAGGTTGAGGGTTCTTGTATAGGGTTCAAGTTTCAGGGTTTCAGGGCCACGTCCGGGATAGCTGCCTTGTGGTGTGAGGGTCGAATGGAAAGGCTTCATGAACCTTATTTTTCATCCTGGGCATGCATCCCCAAAATCATTCAGTCATATCTAACTGGGCTAGTCTGCCCGTCCTACAAGTACCCGCTTGTCGGGCGGATAACGGTGGGGGTGTGCATTGTGGGTTTGGGGAATCGGGTCGTAAGGTCTTTGCGGCTTTGACTCTGACGCTTTCGCATTTCGTAGGTCGTAGTCAGCCCTTGCACACCTCCCTTGAGGCAGTGGCCTTGCTCAGAGACATGGCATGGGCGATTCTGCATCGCGCATGGGACGCGGCGACTGGAATGGTAGCATTCTTTCTTCTGGGGGTTTTCGTACGTGGGGACATAATGGCAAGCTTCTGTAAAGCTGCCTGCCAAAGGGTCAGGGGCTGCTACTGGCTTGGTGTGGGTGGACCGGGGCATATGGATTCTTGAAAGTCGTAAGCCGAGTTCAGGGTACATACTCTGGGTTCGACTCTGGGTTAGAGCAGGTGATCTCTAAGTAGATGGCTATGGGGCTCAGGGCTCAGTCTGCTGAACCGAAAGCCTGATGTTGTTCGCATCTCTCCGCTTCCGAGATGTGTGGGGGCATCATCAGACACCGCTGCGCACGGCGCAAGCAGACACGCAAATAGGTCTCAAGACCAATCGGGATTCGGGCCATTTGGGCTATATACCTGCTGAACTATTCAGCTCATCCGCACGAACGCGTCCCTCCTCTTCGCACCCATGAAGATGAAGCGTGAACATTCCAGCATATTCCAGCAACCTCTTGCTCACTTTTCTGGCTTCCTCGCTGCAGGCACAAAGGCGGCCTTGCGAGCTGCGCTAGGGCTCCCTCGCGAGGCAGGGCTTCCGCCTTCCAGTTCTGAATCCAGTGCGGGGATTTGGGGAGGCCGTGGTTGAGTTTGACAAACGCCAGGCGCTTAAACCAGCAAACCTGCCGCCAGCCAGAGACAAGAAGCACCAACGACTCAAGCCTTTCAAGCACCCAAACCCACGAATACTTCTTCACAATGAGAAGAAACCAGCAAAACTGCCGTGGCCGCCACCGTCTTGGAGGCGCCGACGCATCTCCAGGGAGGCCTTGGCAGTTCGCCGCCAGTGTTGTGCTTCGGCACCTGGGCTTTAAAGGTGAAAGGGTGCGAGGGCTCAATGTTTTTGGGGCAGGGTCAAAGGGGGATCCCAGAAAACTCAAAAATCCAGAGCTAATTATCAGTCAGGCTTTTTGGCTTGGGCATGCTCCTTGCGTTGTGGAGGCCGTGCCAACTCTAAGCCCACACCAAGCCCGTGAGCCAAGAAACTATACGCCGCCCCCCCCCCCCCCTCCCCCCCCTGGCAACCCCTGACTGCACCCCGAGCAGCTCTTGTTTGCAGCCAGGGCCTCCCGCAAGTCTCAATGGGGCTTTCGCAGGGTTTAGGGGCGCTTGGGGGGCTCATGGTTGCTTGGAGGTCCACAGAGGTGGGTTGCCTTGATGTTTAGATGCTTGGGGCTTATAGGGGCTCGGGCTGCTCAAAGCCCAAGACTCATAGAAGGTTCAGTTCAGGATGGAACGAACCCCCCCCACCTTCCCAGCACACTCACGGCATTTTTCTGGACTTGACTTGTATGATGTTCTACATATCGAATTAGAGAATCCGCCTTTCCCCTAAAAGTTGGCAAACGCTTTCGTATTAGTTTAGGGTGTGCTTTAGGACGGCGGCGTCTCAAGCCTACATGCACGCCTGCACAACCTGTAAAAGCCTTGCCGTTTAGGGTGTAGGTAGGTGCCCCATAAATCATTTAAAGGAATACAGACAGGGATATAAGGCACTTAATTCCTCATCTACAAGAACTAGCAACTAGTTCTGGCAAGCTTCCAGCCGAGGCCCGGATTCCATTTGGGGTGCCAGGGTTTGCCCTGTCTTGCCTGTGCCAGTCTCGCTTCAGCTTTTGCGCGCGCAGCGATGCTGGCGAAAATTTGCCCTCGCAGCCGGCGGGCTTCGTGCTCCATTTTTACCTTGATGGCTTCAGGTCAAGCCTTTTCTAGGGGAGGCAAGCAAGAAATAGGAGCACGATGTTTCACCAGCCTGCTCAAAAGCTCACAGCAACCATGATGTTGGTTAGCGAGTTGGGGATGATGTGTTGGGGAGTCGCTCCTGTTGTTCTTTGCTTGTCCTGGATTCAGGTTGCTTTTGCAAACCCTCGAATGTGAAGCTGATGGACTCTACGTTCAAGCCAAGCTAAATTCTTACTTCTCAGCCAGACTGCACGGAGGATGGCTTCCTTCTGGCGGCACCGCGTCCGCAAGTCCTGTTCAGTGGTGCAGTGTTCGGGGGCTTGTGTTGCTATTGTCGGTCTTGTTGCTATGGGGATCCCTTGTAGTTTTGACCACGCGCCCACCGTACCATTACAGAATCTCGAATCTCCAAAAAACAATCCAGCAGTTTCAGGTTGGCTTCATGCCTGATTCAGCGGCGGCTGCTACGGTGTTAATACCAGCAGTCATTGCAGCGCATGTCAGCTGCATCCCTGCAAGTCCTAAATTCAAGATGTCCAAAGAGGCCTAAAAGGCCTAAGCCCGATAGCTGCTTTACCTAAACCCTTGCAAGCAATCCCTTCACTTTTGGGGATCCTGTTGTAGCACGCAGGCTCATGTATGCACCCCAACACCTCTGGCAGGGCGGGTGGGAGGGGGGGGGTGGGTGGGGGTAGGGGGGCCATCTGTGCATTTGAGGTGGGGTACCTGCTTTATGCTACCCAAACGGCACCCAGAACCCCGTAGTGTTGACAAACTGTCTGAGGAATAAACCCAACGCAACAGAACTCCAACAAGTCCCTGCATGTCCTTGCCTTCTCAGACATTCAAACCCCTTCATTGACATCACGCAAATGCCGCCCAAAGCTCCAAAGCCATGCATCGGAGAGCTTCAGGGGAACTCTGAGCCTGCAATTGGTCGATGGAGCTTCGCGAGGTTGGCGGTGTCAGGGTTGGTGACTTGGGCGATTGGGGTCGAATCGGGCAAATTAGGGCGTGGGGCAAGACACGACCACTTGTTGTTTCATCATGTATCCAGAACGTTGGGAATTCAGTCGAAATGCTGCAGCCAAAGCTCAAGCGTCCCCAAAAGCCCGCAATTTGGTTCGAAGCACGTGAAAACCGGGCAAGGGATCCCGAATCCACCTGCCCCTCAATCAATCCACCCGCGCCCAACGCTCGCCCAATTCCTTCCCTCTCACCCAAAGCAGCCAGCCTTTGAGAGCATCCCCTCTAGCTCCCTTGGAAGGGATTCGGTGCGTGTTCAGGCTCTGCGTCATTGAGATTGAGGGGACCATGAGGCTTCAGGCCTAGCGATTGCACTTTCGCCCACGCAAGGCACTTCAAGCCAAGAGCGACTTCTCAACCCAACCATGCTCTAGGGCAAGGCTTCCCTGCTTCTCTCGATGGCCTTGTGCAGCCACTTCTTGACCCTGATTCTCCACATGTGAACATGACGTCAGGGTTGACTTGGGATGGGACTCCAGGTCTTCCGGTTTGGCCGGAGCTGCGACCTGGGCGGCTTGTGCTTGAGAGCTTCGGATCGGTCTTGGGGTAGGGTCCAGTGTGGTCTCTGGGTCTGGAAGGTTATGAAGCAAGGCCGCAGATCATCTTCCCATGCCCCCATTCTCACAGCTCAGAAACACACCCAGCGTTTTTCTCCCCCCGAGCGCCCGGCAGCTTTGGCCGCAGCCCGCAGCTGGCCCAGGCGCTCCTGCGCGGCCGAGTGCAGCTCGGCTCGGCAGCGCAGCTCGGCTACCTGCCAGGCACTTTTGGGGGTTTCGGAAATTAGGGGTACCTTAGGGTACCTCACTGGGGCCAAGGGGATCCTACTATTTGGGGATCTGTAGTGGGGGTCCCCTATTTTCGTAAACCCCCATATCTCCACGCAAACACGCAAAGTAGGAGAACGGAGTTCGGATGTTCAGGCCCCACCCTTTGAAGCCTGAAGCCCAAAACTGTTTGGACGTGAAGAGGCAGACGATCGACATAAACCAATAATGCAAGAAAGCTAAACGTGCAATTTCTATTGGTGCTCTCGTCTTGTCCTAGCAATCCCGGCCGGTGGTGACAAAAGACTTGGGTCAGCCACGAACAGGTCTAAATTGACAAGCCAAGACAGGAGGCTGCACGGGACAACCCAACACCAAGGCACGCACGTGCCACATACATACACACACACACACAAAATCTCTGATATTCATACATATATATATATATGTCAACGTGGCGTCGACATAGACACTGAGCACGCGCGTGTGTTTCAAGTGAAGGTGAGATGATGAACGACGTATTAGAACTGCACACTTCAGGGACTTGCTAAACCCCGCTCTCTCTCTCATTCTCTCGTGCTAGCTTGCGGGCTCACAAACGCTGGACCCAAGTCGGCCTGTGCCAGAAAGATCTCGGCCTCGGCCTTCACGCAGCCTGATCTAGGGGGGGTTATGTGGGCTTTGAGCGCTCCCCCCCCCCTTTTTCCGGGGTCGGACAAGTTTCGGGTCTACCTCTGGAGTTCTTTTTTGGGCTGCAGGCTTGGGACGATGGGTGTCAGAGTCAAAGTGAGACTTGGACTTCCTGCTCCAAGAAGCAACTCCTGAACGGGAATGAACGCCCCACGACACTAGGGCAGCTGAGCAGCCAAGGCTTCTGGCAACCTGTGAGGTCTCAATCAAGACTGAATGAAAGTGACTGTCGCATCATTCAAGCAAGGCCGCCAATCTTCAGCAGATGTGGTTTAGGGTTTCGGGTTTAGGATTCTGTTTTCGTGGCGGGCAGGGAGGAACCTGTCAGCACAGCCCGGACGCCTCGCAGGAGATCTCCAGTCGATGCTGCTCCTGGATTGCACTGATGTCACATGCGCATTGCAGAAACTGGGCTTGTATGGTAAAGTTACAAAACCCTGGGCTTGGGCCAGGCTATCCGCAACAGCTCTGCCTTACCTCTTGTGAACAGACATCTGCAGGTTACCCAATTCGCACACTGGCATCCCGTCTGAGGCATGTCGGAAAGGCTGGAGTCACAGTTTTGGTTGTTTTGGGCCGCTTCCTTTACTCTGTGCATGTTCGGCCCACGCCAAAGGGCCACGCTGTGCAAGGACTTTAAACTCGGGGAACAATCGCACGTCTGATGAGTAGCTCAAGAAGACGAGTAAAGAAGGATGGAAGACACGTGTAGCCTCGCCTATGCCATCGAGTCTCAACCTCGCCGGAAACGCCGGACCCGAGACATCTCGAAACCCTCAATGCTGCGTGCAGACCTGCCACAGATCTTCAGCAGCCGAGTTTGCCTTCTCCAAGCGTTTCCTTGGCAGAGTGGCTCGAACATTCAACTATGTCCAACTGGAAGGGTCCAGGAAGCTCAGGCAATCGACATGTGCCCCCCGCGCTGAATCGCTACATAGACAGGCCCTGTATCAAAACTTACTGAGACTCAACTGCAAAAGCGCCCAAACCTTCAGCACGGCGCCTACCCCTCCTTGAAATTCTCCATGCATCCCCGCGGCAGCAGCTCCGACTCAGACTCCGGTGCCGTGCTTTCAGGCACGGGCGCAGGCACGGGCTCCTATGTTGTGGGTTCATGGGTTCGAGGCTGTCCTTACTTGATCAACAGTGGCTCTCGGGGCACACGTTGAGAATTCTGTCTAGGTGAGCAACTGTAGCAACTATATAAAGCAACGCCCAAGACAAAGCACTCGCTCCTTTGCAATCAACTCGGGTTTCGCTTCCTCGACAGTCTCGGCATCCACATTGGCCTGGGCCAAAAGCAGCCAGGTACCCTGCAGAGATACAGGGGTTCGAGGGTTTACTGTAGCTCGTGCAGGTTCGGTCCGGGAGTTTGAATACTTCGTCAAAGTCCAAAGCACACCAGGCAATGGACATTGCAAGTATTTGCTTGCCAAAGCACCTGGGATCGCCGTGTTGGCGATGCGTCAGGTGTGCGTGCCTGTCGATCGCAGTCAGCATATGACTGCTTCGGTAAGATGATTCAGTGATTGTTGCTGTTGCGGAAAACCATAATTAAAACACCCTGCAGGATGTGAAATGTTGGCGATGGGCCGTTCTGGAGGTGGCAGCCGAGAGCGTGGCGGAGCGTGGCCACATGCGCGAGGGTTCCGGGAGTCAGGAGTTTGAGGCTGAGAGGTGCTCTTCGGCTCATACCGGCATGCGCTCAGTGGTCCCAACATGAGATCATCCCAGAGAGCGTTTGCGTTTGCCGGATGTTCGAGGCCTGAGTTGGGGATTGTGGCCCATTCCCCTATGAACACCCTTCAGGCCCAAAACGAACTTGGAACTTGGAAGCTGCCTGCGAGTGTGTGCGTGGAAGCTGCGGCTGGTGGATGACCAGCGGCGCTGGGCTGGTGGAGCCTCGGCATCTGGAGCCGCGTGCATGCAAGGAGGGGGCTTATTACTTACGATGATTTGAGAACACGATTTAGGCGATTGCGTTGAGTGTGTCTTCCTGTCCCTCGCATGCTCATCCTGGGATTATGAACACGTCACAACGTCCCAGGGCCATCTGAACAAGCCAGCACTAAACCCGTAGTTTTGCTGTCCAACCTGGGCAGCCATTTTTCACACCAAGTCCCGCACGACAAACCCTGCACAACAACCCAAAATATCATAAACCTACAGCCCAAAACCCAGACCTCAATTAGTTTTCGAACCCGCCCGAACATTGGCTCCCAGGAACGGGAACGGATGGCACGCTCCAAGCGCTCCACTGCCTGGCAAAGGGACTTCTGAAACCCTGTTGGGGGGGGGCTTAGGGTATAGGGGCTATGTACGTAGGACCTCTATGTATAGTGTGGGAAATCCCCTTCTGTATGTCTCTATATATATATATATATATACTTATAGGTATCTATAATTAAAATGTTTAAGAAATAAACTTTTTAAGTTTTATAAATTTTACTCTTAAGGCAAAATCTATAAAATTTATAAAATTTATAAAGCTTCCTTCTAAACATGAGCAAACGAGGCTTTATAGATTTTATAAATTTTATAAATTTCACCTTAAGGGAAAAATTTATAAAATTTATAAAATTTATAAAGTTTTGGGTTCAGGCGTCCAGGGAAACCTTTAAAATTTATAAAATTTATAAAATTTATAAAATTTATAAAAATTATAAAATTTATAAAATTTATAAAATTTAAAAAATTTATAAAGCTTCCTTCTAAACTTGAGCAAACCAGGCTTTATAAATTTTTACAAATTTTATCAATTTTATAAATTTTATAAATTTCACCTTAAAGGGTAAAATTTATAAAATTTATAAAGTTTTGGGTTCAGGCGTCCCGGGAAACCTTTAAAATTTATAAAATTTATACAAATTTATAAAATTTATAAAATTTATAAAAATTTACAAAGCTTCCTTCTAAACTTAAGCAAACCAGGCTTTACAAATTTTAGAAATTTATAAATTTCACCTTAAGGGTAAAATTTATAAAATTTATAAAGTTTATTAAGTTTTGGGTTCAGGCGTCCCGGGAAACCTTTAAAATTTATAAAATGTATAATATTTATAAAGCTTCCTTCTAAACTTGAGCAAACCAGGCTTTAAAAATTTTATAAATTTCACCTTAAAGGGTCAAATTTATAAAATTTATAAAATTATACAGTTTTGGGTTCAGGCGTCCCGGGAAACCTATAAAATTTATAAAATTTATAAAATTTATAAAGCTTCCTTCTAAACTTGAGCAAACCAGGCTTTATAAATTTTATAAATTTTACCCTTAGGGTGAAATTTATAAAATTTCTAAAATTTATAAAATTTATAAAATTTATAAAGTTTTGGGTTCAGGCGTCCCGGGAAACCTTTAAAATTTATAAAATTTTTTTTTAAAAATTATAAAATTTATAAAGCTTCCTTCTAAACTTGAGCAAACCAGGCTTTATAAATTTTATAAATTTCACCTTAAAGGGTAAAATTTATAAAATTTATAAAGTTTTGGGTTCAGGCGCCCCGGGAGACCTTTAAAATTTATAAAATTTATAAAAATTATAAAATTTATAAAATTTAAAAAATTTATAAAATTTATAAAGCTTCCTTCTAAACTTAAGCAAACCAGGCTTTATAAATTTATAAATTTTATAATTTTTACCCTTAAGGTGAAATTTAAAAAATTTATAAAATTTAAAAGCCTGGTTTGCTCAAGTTTAGAAGGAAGCTTTTCAAATTTTATAAATTTTATAAATTTTATAAATTGAATAAATTTTAAAGGTTTCCCGGGGCGCCTGAACCCAAAACCTTATAAATTTTATAAATTTTATAAATTTTACCCTTTAAGGTGAAATTTATAAAAATTATAGAATTTATAAAGCCTGGTTTGCTCAAGTTTAGAAGGAAGCTTTATAAATTTTATAAATTTTAAAAATTTTATAAATTTTATAAATTTTATAAATTTTAAAGGTTTCCCGGGACGCCTGAACCCAAAACTTTATAAATTTTAAAAATTTAACCTTAAGGTGAAATTTTTCAAATTTATAAAATTTATAAAGCCTGGTTTGCTTAAGTTTAGAAGGAAGCTTTATAAATTTTATAAATTTTATAAATTTTATCAATTTGATAAATTTTATAAATTTTAAAGGTTTCCCGGGACGCCTGAACCCAAAACTTTATAAATTTTTATAAATTTTACCCTTTAAGGTGAAATTTATAAAATTTATAAAATTTATAAAGCTTCCTTCTAAACTTGAGCAAACCAGGCGTTATAAATTTTATAAATTTCACCTTAAGGGCAAAATTTATAAAATTTATAAAGCCTGGTTTGCTTAAGTTTAGAAGGAAGCTTTATAAATTTTATAAATTTTATAAATTTTACAAATTTTACAGGTTTCCCGGGACGCCTGAACCCAAAACTTTATAAATTTTATAAATTTTATAAATTTTACCCTTTAAGGTGAAATTTATAAAATTTATAAAATTTATAAAGCCTGGTTTGCTCAAGTTTAGAAGGAAGCTTTATAAATTTTATAAATTTTATAAATTTTATAAATTTGAAAGGGGCTTTATAAATTCTATAATTTTTATAAATTTCACCTTAAAGGGTAAAATTTATAAAAATTTATAAAATTTATAAGGTTTTGGGTTCAGGCGCCCCGGGAAACCTTTAAAATTTATTCATTTTATAAAATGTATAAAATTTATAAAATTTGAAAAGCTTCCTTCTAAACTTGAGCAAACCAGGCTTCTAAATTTTATAAATTTTATAAATTTCACCTTAAGGGAAAAATTTATAAAATTTATAAATTTATAAAGCCTGGTTTGCTTAAGTTTAGAAGGAAGCTTTATAAATTTTATTAATTTTTTAAATTTTATAAATTTATAATTTTTATAAATTTTAGAAATTTTAAAGGTTTCCCGGGGCGCCTGAACCCAAAACTTTATAAATTTTATAAATTTTACCCTTTAAGGTGAAATTTATAAAATTTATAAAGCCTGGTTTGCTCAAGTTTAGAAGGAAGCTTTATAAATTTTATAGGTTTTATATATTTAATAAATTTTCTAAATTTTATAAATTTTAAAGGTTTCCCGGGACGCCTGAACCCAAAACTTTATAAATTTTATAAATTTTACCCTTAAGGTGAAATTTATAAAATTTATAAAATTTATAAAGCCTGGTTTGCTTAAGTTTAGAAGGAAGCTTTATAAATTTTATAAACGTTATAAATTTTATAAATTTGAAAGGTTTCCCGGGACGCCTGAACCCAAAACTTTATAAACTTTATAAATTTTATAAATTTTACCCTTAAGGCGAAATTTATAAAATTTATAGAATTTATAAAGCCTGGTTTGCTTAAGTTTAGAAGGAAGCTTTATAGATTTTATAAATTTTATAAATTTTAAAGGTTTCCCGGGGCGCCTGAACCCAAAACTTGATAAATTTTATAAATCTTATAAATTTTACCCTTTAAGTGGAAATTTATAAAATTTATAAAAATTTATAAAGCCTGGTTTGCTCATGTTTAGAAGGAAGCTTTATAAATTTTATAAATTTTATAAATTTTATAAATTTGAAAGGTTTCCCGGGGCGCCTGAACCCAAAACTTTATAAATTTTCATAAATTTTATAAATTTTACCCTTAAGGTGAAATTTATAAACTTTATAAAATTTATAAAGCTTCCTTCTAAACTTGAGCAAACCAGGCTTTATAAATTTTATAAATTTCACCTTGAGGGTAAAATTTATAAAATTTATAAAGCCTGGTTTGCTTAAGTTTAGAAGGAAGCTTTATAAACTATATAAATTTTATAAGTTTTATAAATTTTATAAATTTTATAAATTTTATAAATTTTAAAGGTTTCCCGGGACGCCTGAATCCAAAACTTTATAAAATTTATAAATTTTATAGATTTTACAAATTTCCTAAATTTTATAAATTTTAAAGGTTTCCCGGGACGCCTGAAACCCAAAACTTTATAATTTTTATAAATTTTACCCTTAAGGTGAAATTTTTCAAATTTATAAAATTTATAAAGCCTGGTTTGCTCAAGGTTAGAAGGAAGCTTTATAAATTTTATATACTTTAAAAAATTTTTTATAAATTTTATCAATTTTAAGGTTTCCGGGGACGCCTGAACCCAAAACTTTATAAATTTTATAAATTCTATAAATGTTACTCTTAAGGTGAAATTTTATAACTTATAAAGCCTGGTTTGCTCAAGTGTAGAAGGAAGCTTTATAAATTTTATAAACTTATACATTTAAGAAAGTTTATAAGTTTTATGAATTTTACAGTTTCCCGGGACGCCTGAAACCCAATTTTGCTTTATAAGTTGTATAAATTTTACACATCTTACCCTTTAAGGTGAAATTTAAATTTTTTTTATAAGATTTATGAAATTTATACAGTTTATAAAGCCTGGTTTGCTCAAGTGTAGAAGGAAGCTTTATAAATTAAATACTTTAAATAGTTTAAATAATTTATTCACGGAAGTGATACTCATGTAAAACAACCCCATTACTTCAACGAATTAAGCTATTTAACGAGACTTCTTCACTTCAAACTCTCCCGCGTCCCTGATGAAGTATGTCCCCTGTGAGGGCTTGGAATTCGTTTGCTTGCGAAGGGGTGCGGGGATGAGGCGGAAAAAGGAATAATGAAATTATTTAAATCATGTGAATTATATAAATTATTGAAATTATTTAAATGGTCTGGCTGTTGGAGGAATGAATTTATTTGAATAATTAAATTCTTGAGGCCCCAAAATATTTTAAATAATTAAACTGTTTAAATTATTTAAATTATATTTGGGGCCTACCGAATGTAATTATTCAAATAAATTCATTCCTCCCGAATGTAATTATTCAAATAAATTCATTCCTCCAACAGCCAGACCGTTCAAATAATTTAAATATTTCAAATAATTTAAATCATTTAAATAATTTAAATAAAAAATTTAATTATTCAAATCCCTGATTTGAATACTTAAATTCTTTTGGGAGGCCGCAGAATTTAAATAATTTAACTATTTAAGTCCCTGACTTGAATAATTAAATTCTTTTGGGAGGCCCCAGAACTTACATACGTTAATTACTCAAATCCCTGATTTGAATAATTAAATTCTTTTGGGGGGCACCAGAATTAAATTATTTTATAAGTGTTACAAATTTTGTTTTTTTGCATTATTAACTTCTGGTATTCAATTCTTTTCACCACCCAGAATTCATTCCAGAGGTTACAATATTAATACGAGAATGAAGTGAACATGTGAACGAATGAACGGGGCATTCTTTGTGTTCTCTTTTTGCGCGCCCACTATTATCTTCTTTCAACTAATCTCAACAGATACAGTGAATGAAATGAACGTGTGATCTGTGATTTAGCGAAAGAAAGAAGATAATGGGGGCGTTCATTTCACTTTGTTCATTCACTTTCTATTTTTGTATTTTGGATTCTTAGGGTAGACTCGATTATTAAGGGAAGATTTTTAGGGTAGCCTGTATTCTTAGGGCTGAGTTCTTGTTTGGTGGTGGCCTGGATTTTTAGGATAGCTTGGATTCTTAGGGGTGGCCTGTATTCTTACGATAAGCCTGGATTCTTAGGCTTGAGCTTGCTTTTTGGTGGTAGCCTGGTGTTTTAGAGTAGCCTGGGTTCTTAAGGTAGCCTGGATTCTTGGGGTAGCCCATTCTTAGGGTTGTGTTTTTTTGTTTTGGTGGTAGCCTGGATTCTTAGGGTAGCTTTGGATTCTTAGGGTAGCCCAAATTCTTAGGGTCCAATCTAAGGGATAGAGAAAGGCCTTCAAAGCTTTTATTGAGGGTAAAGGAGAGATCTCAAGAAAAAAGGTAGTAGAGCTCCGTCGTTGCCTATGAAGCGACAAACGGCTTCTCTTATTGCTTGAGAAACATTTCTGAAACACAGAAATTGTAGAGAACTCTCTTTCATTTCCTGCAAAAAGATAGAGGAGGTCTCTCATGACCTATTGCGAGAGACAGAAGCTCTTTCAGGTAAAAAATAGGAAACGGTAAAGCTGAGAATTTCTCTACCTATTGACGAGACACAAAAGAGAGGGCGTGAGAGAGCTCTTATGATTTCTTTTGTATTACCAATGCAATCTTTCTATCTCTGAGTAGGAGACGAAAGAAGAGCCTTCTATCTTCTCATAGGAATCAAAAGAAGTCCTGTGTAGGAAACGAAGAGACCTTTGATAAACAAGAACAAAAGAATGGAAACGAATCGACGTCATCCTCTCTGTTTATTTATAATAAGAGATGGGGCATTAAGAGCTCCTCTATTCTTTTGGAAATGGAATAACTTGTGTCCCTCCTGAGTGGAGGATCTCTCTTTCGAAGACATCAGAGATCCCCTCTATGCCCCTCTGTCTCGCAATCGGAAATGAGAGAGCCCATTCCCCCCCCCCCCCGCCCCCCTACCTTCTCATAGCAAATGAAAAACGGAAATGAACGATGTCCTCGATCTGTTAATGCAGAATGAGAGACCTCTCTGTCTCCTAATGGAACATGAAAAACCTCATGTATTTTATTTTCAATAAAAGATCCCTCTCTCGAGGAAATGAGAGATCCTTCCCGATATCTCTTTCTAGGAAACACTTCTTCAAGTGGGAGAAAGACTTTTGCAAGATTACGCAGTCCAACCCCACCTCGCGTTGCCTGTTAAAACTACTCCCAGCCCCTAAAAATCCGGGGTGAAGGGCCTACCGCTACTTGTGAGGAACATGATGCTCGGGATCAGGTGTTGGAACTTGTCTTCTGTGTCCCAGACCGGCAGAAGAGAGACGATGTGTGTGCATGTTCAAGATGTCTCGTAGACCACGCCCTACGAAGCTGCAGCGGCTGCAAGACCATATCGGCTGGAAATGCTGACGTGCTCTGCTGGTTTGAAGTTTCTTGTGCGCCTTGGCCCCAGCAATGCAGCCTGCCATGAGGAATAAGGGTAAATAAGGCTAAGGAGCTCTGTCATTCCCTAAAGAAAGAAGGAGAGCGGGGATACCTTGGAGGAGCCTTTTCAGAAGAGACTCATCCCCTTCAAAGAGACAAAGGAGCTTTCAGATGACCCATTTAAAGATAGAATAGACTCTCTCACATAAACGATAGAAACTGATGAGTTGTGTAATGTCCCCACTTAAGGAGTAAAGAAAGGCCTTCACATGTTTAGTTGTTTTATTTAGGGTAAAGGAGAGATCTCTCGTAAAAAGTTCGAAGGGCTTTGTCATTTCTTATGAAGAGATAAAGGGCTTCTCTTATGACCTCTTCATTGATAGAGAAGCTATTTCTGAAAAAACTGACATAGTAGAGAACTCTCTTTCTTTTCCTGCGCAAAGCTAGCGGAGGCCTCTCATGACATATTGCGAGACTGAGATAGAAGATAGGAGATCGTAGAGATGTGAGCTCCCCTACCCAGTGTCGGGAGATTAAGACGCTCTTATTCGTTTGCGAAAGAGTTACTCTATCTCTGAGTAGGAGATGAAATAGGTCCTATATCTTCTCATAGAAAATGAAAGAACACTTGTGTTTTTTGTGTTTGTTATATGGTTACACCAGATTGACCAGCAGCCTCGCCCACCTTGTGCCAGTGTGAGAGTCGAAACTTCATTTCCGGGTGGAATATGACAACGACTACTACGTAATGAAGACATCTTGTACAACCAGTGCTTTGAGCGAAAAATGTCTTGAAGATTTCAACAACCATACGTTATATATATATATATATGCACTCATGTATAAATCTATGTCACATACTTATTCTGTGTTTTGTAAGGGCAGGTTTTCGTGCCCACTTTTTATTTCAGATTCTTGTTTACGAGTGTCTACAAAGGCAAGATTCAATGTTTGATTCGGTTTTTTTTTCAACTTCAGGGCAACACAAGTTGTGTTTACTTTGGTTTGGACTTTGGATTGAAGTGTTTGTAAAGGCAGAGTTAAACTTGTATTCTTGGTTGAAAATGTCTTTCTAAAGGTTTTGTCCGCGTTGCAGAAGTTAATGTTTGCATTTGGTTTGGTGTTGTGTTCAAGGGAATTTGCGAGGAGGAACTTGCAATTTACGATCGGTTTGATATTCGGTTTAGTGAAAATCTACTTGCACAGACAAGTTTTAAGATTGAAAAAAAGCGGTTCCCACATTGTACGTAAAGGTCCATGGCACATAGGGGCTATAGGGTGTGGGGTACAAGGTTTAGGGCTCGGGGTTTAGGGCTTCTGCCCTAGTGGAGGCCTAGCCGCATACTTGGGGCATCTTGGGGCCTCCTGAGTGCACTTCCAAGCCCTGCAAAGTTTTCCGATGGCCGTGTCCCGATCTCGGGAGCACTTCAAAAGGTTGGGTCTGTTGCTGGGTTTAGGGTTCAGGGTTTAGGGATTGCACCACAGTTCCAAGGACATCTGACGTTTGCATCTCATCTCACCAAACAGCTTCAATTCTCATTTTCACGCGGCAAGGGTGCCGTACCAACGGTCACCGCGCTACTTCTTTGCATTCTTACGATAAGAAAAAGCAAAACATCATGGCTAGGGGAACCAGAATACGCCAGAAGTTCCAGGGCCAGTCTTGCAGTCTCAGGGGCAAAGCGTTCCGATGTGTTCCGGTTTATATGAGGTTGGGATCAGGCTGGAGGATCTCAGGCTCCTCCTTGGCCGGCCTGAGCCACCGTTCCGCTCTGTGGAGTTCCGTCGGTTGCATCTCTGGGGATCTCGACTGCATCTGGTGCCAGCGCCTCAAGGCAAGTGGGAAGAGACGCGGGACGAGTTCGACAAGCAAGAACTGATGATTCCAATCCCCAATCCCTCGGGCGCAGCCTCTTGCTCTGACAGCGCATTCCAGCAGCTGGGATCCGACGGTATGGTATGTACAATCTCAGATTGCTGCCTCGGCAAAGCGGCTCATTATACCTGCTTCATCCTGCTTCCACGATCACAAAAGCTGCGCTGGCCTGCCATGTCCTAAGTCGCATTGGATTGCAGCACTTGCAGGCCGGGTGCTGCGGATGGTGTGGAAGCTGCTCAGAGCTAGAGCCGCCTCCGTGCTTACCGTCTGGGTCTGACGCGTCGGCTTCCCTGACCTGAGCTGTTCAATCACGCTGCTTCCCGGTCCATATGGTCAAGGCCAGCAGGCCAGCAGTGTCTTTGCCATTTCATGACATGTTCGCGCCAACTTTACACGTGACCCTGCTCTCTGGAATGGGAAAACGAGTGCAAGCATGGTGCAAGTGCAGGCTCCTCAAACTGCACGCTGGAAGCCCTGGGGGCCAGCGGCACACTTTGGTGCCTGGGCTGGGAGGCGCCTATCTGCCTTGTAAGGTCTAATCTTGGCATGAAGAAAAATATTGAAACTCATGTAATACCCTTACCCTTACTACTATTCTTAATTTTTTTATTACGAATATTATTGTAATTAATATTATTATTACTATTATGATTATTGCTATTGTTACTATGACTATTACTTACTTTCACAAGCTCCAGTACCAGTAGCTGAACTTGGCTGGGCCGCTGCTGCTCCTCTAAGCTGCCCGTCTCGGCCGGAGCATGCGCGTCTCCATGCTGTGCCTGGGAAGCAGCATTGTAGGGTTTAGGCGGTTTAGGGTTTGGGAGGTTTGGGAGGTTTGGGGCTTTTTTGGGGTTTAGGGCTTTAGGGCCCAGCCATACGAAGGCAAGGACCTTCGGGGCCCAGCTGGCTTTGTTTAATCTCATGACCTATGCAAGCTTCGGCGAAACACTGCTTAGTGAGCATCGGGAATGTGCTGTGTAACTAAGTTGTTCTTCTGTACATCGCCCGCAGACGCTTCCGGGAATTTCCGCGAGCCCAGTTTCTAAGATTGGGGACTTCGCTTCCTCCATCAATGCAATAAGCGTTGCAAGCTGGAACATCTATGGACATGCATCCAGATAGGACTGACCTTGTCAGGCCTTCCCGGCGAATCACCCCACCCCCCCCCCCCCCCAAACCCCGCCCCCGCAGTAAAATTACCCCCGCGAGCAGTTGGTAGGACTTATCTCGTGAATCTTGCCGCAACTGAAACAGCGGAGCTTCCACAACAAGCATAGGCTTTCAGTGGAACCTTCCTCGTGCTTCTATGCTCGCAGTGCGGGGTGAATGTCGTATACCTAGTATCTATGCAACTCAAGCACCTGAACATACCGTGCTTGTTGATGTCGGAAGCCACCCAAGTGCGACAGGGGGAAGGGAGTACGATGCCCGACTTCTCGCGGATGGCCAAATTGCGTAGTGAAGGTTTAAAAAGCTCTACGTGGGATCACATGCAGTTCCAGGCAACTCCAAGGGTTTGGGCTTCAAGGTGTGCCCCTCCGACGATCTGGGGAGGGGACCTCCAGCAGCGCCTCCACGTCAAAGTGGGACCTTCTTCAGGTGATGGGTGGCTCCAGCTCTGCACTTCCGTGACTTTGAAACAACACAGGGCTATGTGGTGGGGTTTCCCCTTGCAAGATACCCTTGGCTTTTCGGCCCAAGCGAAACTAGCTCCTACACACAAGTTCTCCGAAAGCAACTCACCTGAGTAGGCTGAGCCGCTCTTCGTCGGAGCTCGTTCCTTCTGCCTCGCTACTCTCCTGCGAGCTTGGGATGTCTTTAGCTTCGTATCCTATCTGGGGAACCCATACTCCAAAAGGAACCTACCTTATGGTTCTTTGATAGTACCACATGTGGGGGGGTGGGCCCTGTTTGGGTATGCCAAATTCAAGGTAGAAGTCGTAACCAGCAGATTTGCACGCCCCAGAGTGCCCGAAACTAGCTGGAGAAAGCTTGCGTTCGGAAGAGCAGATTCTGTTATAGCCTTTTACATCTTATTATGCAATAACGGGGTTCGGAGCCTACAGGCCGTCCTGTGCTCATGCAGCTTTTCGCCGGAAGCAGTGCACTACAGGGGGTCTCAGACGAATCTGTCTGTTTGTCAGGGTGGCGGCTTGGGTGTGTACAATTAAAAGCGCCGCGCTCCCGGATGACACTAGGAGGCGCACTACATTCATGCTTGTTCTCTCCGTGCGCCAGAGAATCATCTGCAAACACGTTAGAACAGTGCTGAAAGGGGAGGGATACTTGCCTGGCGTGAACACCTGCAAAGCAAAAATCTGCTCGCATTCAAGGCGCAAGACCTCGCGCCGTCGTAGTGACGGCATGCCAAAATTGGAGGTGCGCTCGTGTTGCTAGCAGGTGCTCAGAAGCCACCCCCGATCCACATCCAAGGTCTGGTGCCCGGAAGCCCTAAACTTCCCTAAACCCTGCAAATCCTCACTTAGGCTTGGCAGCATCCGCTCAAGTTGTGTCCTTTTTCGGATGTAATGTTCAGACGTACGAGACATCAGAGCTATGGGGGTCTCACAAGCAATGTATCCTGCTACCTGCCGCTAACTTCCAAGCAGCACAGAAGCCCTGTGGCAGCTTCTTGTCGAGTAGACCTGCGAACTGACCTACACCTGCATCACAGGACACCGAGCTGTTCAACCCGCTCCCAACGAGAATTCGATAGGGCATACTTTTGCACTTCTCTAAGAATCTAGTACAGTTCATCTGTTTCCGAATGGAGCCGGGACCGAAACTAGTTGAGGACGATGACAGCAGATGAACCCTAAACCCTCTCCCTAAACCCTACGAGGCTCAACTCAAACCCCCTCGACCAATCCTAGCCTGATGCTTTGAGAGGAAACTATTACGGTTTGGGCGGCCTTCGACTGTAGAGCGTCGCAATGCCCTCAGCAGGAACTAACAATAAACAGCTGCTTCTTCTTCTTCTTCTTCTTCTTCTTCTTCTTTCTCGGGGCGCTTGTTTTGCACCAGACCCATGGATGAGCTTGAAGCACGCAGACAATCAAGACCGCGGACTTCTCGAAAAAAGGCTGAGTTCATGAGCCACACGCTGTAGATCAAGGGTCTGGTAATTGTCTGGGTGTACTGGAAAAGGCAGCTCTCATCTCAAAATTCTCAGCTACCTCTACCTTAGTACTTGGGGTGGGGGGGGGGGCGGTGGCTGCTTGGGTGACGTTGATGGCTGATGGCTAGGTTTCTTACCTCTCACCTATCCTTCTTGGCATTTGCATTGTGCAAGGAGACGAAGGTCTCCTTGATTCTGGTGGCGTGCTGTAGTCGACATTGTAGTCTGATTTACTGGACATCGGCTCAGAACTCAATCGTCAAATGTCGAGATGGCCAAACTTGCTAAATCGTTAAATCTACTGGGATCGGAATGCCCGAGCTCTCAATTCTTTTCTACTCTGAGCTTGCGATGGCTTGGGGTGAGGAGACTAAGGTGGCCTTAGAAGTTAGACGGATCCGTGGGGGCTCAAGCTCTTATGCTGAGAAGGCCTGAGAAGACCCCGCGGGGAAGCTCAACCTAAACTCTTGAGCCTAAACCTCGGTTCCTAAGAAAAGGGGTTGGGCTCGGGGGCCAGTCTTAGGGCTTGGGCTAGGGTTGCATGAGGTCCCAGGTTGGGGTTATTATAGGGGTCTCAGTGGAGAAGAGGCTGGTATGCAGAAGGAGAGGATGTCGAAGAAGATCTTATTCCTACATGTGCCGCTATGAGGGCTTGCCCGAACCCAAAGTGCACACCGCGGACCGCGGCGTGCGTGGCAGCGACGACACCCATTGTGCACGACTTGTGCATCGACACTGGGTAAAGGCCCGGTCCGCGGTTATTCTATGGCATTCTATGGTGGACTGGGGCTGGTCTCGCCGTGAAAGTCGGTGCCCCAGCACTCCACCGTGTTGTCCTCAGCACAGAAGGCTTTCAAACACTCTGAACCTGTGGCTCTGCATGGGGCTTGCTATGGCATATCCTGGCTCTTCCCACAACCTCGGAAAACAATCCAGCGGGACCAAGGGTCGGGTTTCAAGCCGCAGGCGTGGAAGAGACCATGCACAACCTGTGTTGTTTTTTTTTGGTTTTGTTGTTGGTCGTTTCGGTTGCGGATTTTGTGGTTTGGGTCGTGGCGTTTCTGCCAGAGTCGGGGACGGGGGCACATGGCAACATTCCTATAGTGACACTGCAAGTCTCAATCTCTCCCACGTACAACTCTACACAACATGAGAAGCCGCCCACCCAACGAACCCAAAAAAGGACAACCCATCAGAGGCACAGAAGTCAGCGCCACGTCCGGCACGGGTTTGGTCGCGCCCGTGAGGATGCCCCAACACCTTCAAACTAAATCCGTGGGACCCTTCCAGGGGATCTGAGGTAGCATACTTGCGTTTTTGTTATATAATACTGTGATACTACTATTTTTCTTCTTCTTCTTCGTCTTACTATTTATTGTCTAAAGGCTATTATTGTAGCTGCAGTGTACGAACCAGTCAGGCTCCAGTCTCCCAGCTGACCATAGCTGTACAGGAGCGCCTCCTAAATTTTTGTCGTGTTGAGATCTCTTAGTACGTTTGGTACGTTGCACTTGCGGGCTAGCCAGCTATCCTTGCTTGACTTCGGTGACGCTTTCGCTATGGATGGTATATATGGTGATGCGCATTGATGCCCCCTACTCTTTCAAGAGCTCGGAACTGCTCTGCAACATTTCTGCAATCCGAGTGCTCAGGATGGCTTCCACCTTGTATAGACCCTGGTAATGGTCCTCCTGATTGCTGACTCTTCGAACTGCTGGCAGCTCTGCTTGTGCCGACCGCTTGCATCAGACCACGTGTCATAAAATATTGTTACTATCATTGTAGTATCCGCCGACCCCAGCAACAGCGGGGCGGCGTCAGTGAAGACCCTCCCTGCCCTCACCGCAACCTCTTCCCCCATCCCCTTCCCAACCATTCCACTCCACCTCTCCACTTGGCCTTGCCTTCCGCCCCTAACCTCCCACCACCAACCCCTTCCCCTGCCCCCCCTCCCACTACCCTTCCCCTTCCCAACCATTCCACTCCATCCTCCTCCCCTACCCCCCCCGCTCCCCACCACCCTTCCCCTTCCCAACCATTCCACTCCACCCCCATCCCTTGCTCCCGCCCCGGACCGCTCCCCTTCCCCATCTCTGTCCCCCCTCTCACCGCTTTCACCCCACTTGCCACCCACTCGGCACTCCGCCCCCCCCCCCCCCCCCCCCCCCCCCCCCCCCACCCCCTTCCCCATGCAGGCCTACCCTCTCCCGACTTCCCTCACTTCCCTCCATCACCGTCCCCCCAAACCCTTTCCCTGCCCAGCTGGCCAATAGCTCCATGCTGTGCCTACTGGCTCATGGCCCCACAGTTTTACGGGCCTTTGGCCCTTTGCCTCTCTAGACTCGATCAGTCATGACTTTAAAGGGCTCCAGTGCATGCCGCCCGCTTCGCTTGCTCCGCCCTTCCCCCCCACCCACCAGCCCCCCCCTACCCCCCCCCACCCACCCCCCTTCCCCGCCCCTAACCCTCCCACTACCAACCCCTTCCACCCTTCCCCTTCCCAACCATTCCACTCCATCCTCCTCCCCTACCCCTTCCCCCCCCCACCCCGCTCTCCTCCCCCTTGCTCCCGCCCCCCGACCGCTCCCCTTCCCCATCCCCCCTCTCACCGCTTTCACCCAACTTGCCACCCGCTCCGCACCCCGCCCCCCACCCCCACGCCCCCCGTGCCTTCCACCCCCCAACCCACCCCCCCAACCCTCCCCCGGCCCTATGCCCAGTGGCTCATGGCCACCTGGTTTTACGGGCCTCTGGCAGACCCGATCCCTCCCGCCCGCTCCGCCCACCCTCCCCATCCCCCCCTCACTTCCCTCACCATCACCGTCCCCCCAAACCCTTTCCCTAACCAGCTGGCCATGGCCCTTAATGGCTCCATGCCCTTGATGGTCCCCTGGCCCTGCATGCCCTTGATGGTCCCCTGGCCCTGTGCCTGCCGGCTCACAGTTTTACGGGCCTCTGGCCCTTTGCCTTTTTTAGATTTGATCAGATGACTGACTTTACCCCCCCGCCCCCCCCCCCCCCCCCCCACCCCCCCCCCCCACCCCCCCCTCTTCTCAGAAGACCCTCCCTGCCCTCACCGCAACCTCGTCCCCCTTCAACCATTCCACTCCACCCCTTCCCCATCCCTGCCCCCCCTCTCACCGTACCCCTAATCCACCCACCACCAACCCCTTCCCCTTCTACCCTTCCCCTTCCCAACCATTCCACTCCATCCTCCTCCCCTACCCCTTCCCCCATTCCACTCCATCCTCCTCCCCTACCCCTTCCCTTACATATACCGTTTCAGAACTTAGAACCAAGGTTTACGGTTTCCGGGCTTAGAGCAGAGGCATTATCTCCCAGAGTTGAGCAGGAGAAGGGGGGGGGGGGGTAACCGAAGGGGTAGGGTTTGGGCCGAGGGCAAAGACGTGCCAGAGTTTATGCTGACGGGAACTACAGTTTCGGGAGAGTCGTAGCGCCTCCGGTGACCATCATCTCGGACTCGGGCTCGTCAGCGTCAGGGGTTTGGCGGTGGCTTTTGGGTGTTTTTGGTTGTTTGTTGGTTGTGCGTGCGTGCGCGTGTGCGTGTGCGTGTGCGTGTGCGCGTGCGCGTGCGCGTGCGCGTGCGCGTGCGCGTGCGCGTGCGCGTGCGCGGGGGTGTGGGTGTGGGTGTGGGCGTGGGTGTGGGTGTGTGTGTGTGTG